AGAGAGAGAGAGAGAGAGAGAGAGAGAGAGAGAGAGAGAGGATGGATTTTTCGACATGGATCCTCATTAGTAATTATGAAAGCTAAGCCTTTGCTTAGGCTTGTTGCTAACTAGTTCTTATAACTTAAATTAACCCACGTCTATTCATCTATGTGTTGCCATGTGACTCATGACTTTTACCTCTTCTCCTTCATGTCTGTTCCTTCTGTGTCTGGCTGTTGACTCCTCCTTTCTTGTTCCCGAGCTCTCTGTCCAGAAATCCTGCCTAGCTATTGGCCATTTAGATTTTATTAAACCAATCACAGTGACACATCTTCACACTGTAAAGGAATATTCTGCAATAAGAGAGAAAAGCAGAGATGGGGGGGATAAGGGGGGAAGAGAGACGTATTCCCTGAAAGGGAAAATAGAGATGCTAGGTAAAGTTCCTGAGAGAAAGAAGAAACTACATCTGTGAACTGTGAGACACAGAGCTCAATTGGAAAACAAAGTACTGACAATTGATGAGCCTGTGGTGGCACAGTTCTCAAATTTACATAAAAAAAGGATTTGGGTTTTTTTTTGTTGTTTTGTTTTGGATTTTTCAATACAGGGTTTCTCTGTGTAGCCCTTGCTGTCCTGGAACTCAGTCTGTTGACCAGACCCAAACTCATAGAGATCTGCCTGCCTCTGCCTCAAGAGTGCTGGCATTAAAGAGGGGCACCACCACCTTGCAGCTGGTTAAAGACTTAAGGTACTAAAAAACTGCTCTAATGAAACACCACCAGGTGCAGTTCTGAAGGGAAAAGCAGGCAGAAGATCAGCTATGGAAGAGGTTCCAGAGACAGGAGAATAGAGGAAGGCTTCGTGATGTCTAAAAACGGACAGCAAGAATAAAAGTGTAGGAAAATAAAGGAGACTGGCCAGAAACTAAAATATCTGAACCTGTGGAGGGAGAGTAGTTCTGAGTGCAAACAGGAAACACTTTGGTGTGCTGTTAGAAGCAGACTGAAACACAAAAGGCAGCTTGCTCACTGCTGCTTCTAAAACAGAGGGTTGTGCTGACTCTGGAAACAGTATTATTAGGTCTGTTTGTTGATCTTATAAAACAACTTACCATTAATGATTCAATGTATATTATAGGAGACCTGGAATCAGACCACTTTGGCAGGCTTGACCGTGTAAGCACAGTAGTACGTAATATGAATGACCAAGTTCTCTTCGTTGACAGAAGAAAGTCACCTGTGTTTGAGGATATGACTGATGCTGACATATGGGGTACTTTTCTCTACTTACTTAAAAATACAAAGGTGACCACGAATTCTTCCCACTCCATTTACTGTCCACATTTTCAAATGTCAGATCCCATCCTTAGATGGAAAGTCACAGTAGTAAATATAATTTCACTTTAGAGAACACCCCTTTATTAGCTGGAGTGAGGAGTGTGATGCAGTAAAGACACTGGTAGAAGTCACAACACTCTGAGTCTATGTATGTATTAAAGTCCCCCATATCAATTGCATTCTCGATAGAAGAACCTTTTCAATTTTCAAGTTTGATCATTCATCCCCATTGGTTATAGCTGAACAAACTGCTGACACCATCAAAACTCAAATGAAAAGTGAAACACAGCATTTTAAATAAATCTGTCTTCCTCCAGAACATGAGAGTGCCTCTCAAGATAAACAAGTTTACTGTACCTCTCTGGATATAAGTTCCAAATACCACAGTTTTGGACCTAGCGGAATGTATATTCTTGAAAAAAATCCTACCCTAAGATTTTTGCCTTAACAAATGTTTTTAACACTCTGTTGGACATCCAACAGTTAAATGTAGTCTTTAGACTCAGAATAACATTCTGTTTTGGAGCTAGCTTTATTTTTTATTTGAGACAGAATCTCATTATGTAGCCCTGGCTGTCCTGGAACTCACTTTGTAGACTAGGCTGGCTTAAAACTCACAGAGATCAGCCTGCCTCTGCCTTCAGAGTGATGGAATTAAAGGTGTATAACACCTAGCAGGGTATCTTTAACACTCAAGAAAAATATCAGAAATCAAAAAAAAAATCAGAATATCTTTACCACAGTCAGAATACATTGACACACTCATGCTACCCACCCAATGGTTTATAACTCCCTGTAAGTGTGTTTTAAGAGTGTATGGCTAGCTGGACCTCATATCTGTTAACTGTCTGGCCAAACCTGAGTAAGGGTTGTGACTGATCTATTAAGGTGGATCTATCCTTTGTTAAATTTCTACAGATACCAATTTCTTGTAGGGGGGAACTATGCTAATTAATGGCCTCACTTATTAATATTTGTTTCAGCTAATAAACCCCATACCAGACTGATAATATATATGTATAAAGATTCTGATGCAGGGGGAATGGCTGTAACCCTCTCTGTGGAGGATCAAAAAATGTTTACTCTCTCCTGTAAGAACAAAGTCATCTCCTTTCAGGTAAGAGACACCTTCACTTTGGTTTTAGTCATATTAATGGACCCAATTATAAAAGCCAGATATCCTCAGACCAACTTTTTATCTAGATCCCAAAGAACAGAGACAACCACTAGAATGGATGAGTTCAGGGAATCCTCAAGGCTTTGGCCTAGTGATGATACTCAGTTGTCTAATTTTGTCTCTGAGCCTATCAGACAGGAAGAAACAGCTGAATGCTTTTATTTAAACAGGATTTCTTGTATTCAAACTCAGTATATAGTTGAGGGTGACCTGGAACTTTTAACCCTTCCATCTCTACTCCCAGGTAGTAGGATTACAGGTGTATATCACTGTGCCGGGTGTCATGCTCAGGGTCTCCCACTAATGCCGATCTTATTCCTCATTGCCATAGACTGGGTTCGGGTAAGACCCAACTTCATTTCCCTTTCATTTGTGGCCAATGATTACTTCTCATTTAGACTTTAAGATTCAGCTTGGTCCGAGATCATCTCCTGCAGCTTAAAGTATCTCCCTGAGGGCTGGAGAGATGGTTCAGAGGTTAAGAGAACTGGCTGCTCTTCCATAGGTCCTGAGTTCAATTCCCAGCAACCACATGGTGGCTCACAACCATCCGTTATGAGATCTGGTGCCCTCTTCTGGTGTGCAGATATACATGGAAGCAGAATGCTGTATACATAATAAATAAATAAAATCTTTAAAAAAAAAAGTATCTACAGGACTGATCCAGACCCCTGAACATGGATGTCAAAGAGGAGGCCTCTGCACTCTAGGGGGCCCCTGGTAGTGGATTAGTATTTTCCCCTGGTGTAAGCAGGGATTTTGAGAGCCCATCCCACATGAAGGGATGCACTCTTGGCCTGGATCCATGGGGAAGGGCCTAGGCCCAGCCCAGGATGATGTGGTGGACTTTGGGGAGCCCTCGTTGGGGGCCCTACCCTGCCTGAGGAGTGGAGAGTGGATGGGGTGGGAGATTGGTCAGGGGTAGGGGAGGAGGGGTCGGGGTGAGGGGAGGGAGAGGAAGAAGGGATTCATATGTGAAACAAGCTTGGTCCTAATTTGAACCAATAAAAAAAAAATAAAAAAATAAAAAGTATCTCCCTGCGTTGTGGTTAACCAGGCACAGCTTCAGAAGGAGATGCTAATAAGAGAGAACTTTATACTACCATCAATTCACAGCCCACACTAGTTTGGGAAATGGCCAGTAACTAAGGATGTCAACTTAACTAGTTTAGTTGAAAGCACACCTGCAGAGTCTTCTTCATATTAGTGTATTTAGCTAAGGATGATTGAAGACAAGAATTGCAACCATCCGGAAGAGATGTCTCTGCTAGAACTTTACTTCATCATTAGCAGACCTGGACTCCACTTGGTGGAAAAGAACAGAAGGAAGCTCTCTGGGCCTAGGGGAACCAGAAGGCCTGTGTGTTGATAAGCATGCCATGGTGGGAAAGGTCGGACCGGATGAGAAAATAGCAAGTTAGGAATTAAAGAGGGTCAGTCAGTACTCTTATTACTCCCATATTCAGAGGGTTTTTTTGTTTTCTTAACCCCTGAAAAAAGTAAAACTGCTTTAGGTATATTTAGTAATATACTTCTAAATAAACTGCACATATTCAAATTGTTAAAATCCTTTTTTAAAAAAAAGTATTTCATTTTCTGTATTCATGCCTGTATATATGTGTGCTTCTTCAGAGGCCAGAGGGGGAGTTGGATCTCATGGCGCTGGAGTTTGCACATTTGTGAGCTGTACCCCATGTGGGTACTAGAAGCCAAATTCCAGATTCTGAGAGGCCATAGCAGCAAGCCATTGCTCCAGCCCCAATTGTTTATATCCTCAAAAGTTGTGTAATGTCTGGCCAGGCGGGGGTGGTGCACACCTTTAATCCCAGCACTTGGGAGGCAGAGGCAGGTGGATCTTTGTAAGCTCGAGGCCAGCCTGATCTACAAATGAGTTCAAGGACAGCCAGGACTATTACACAGAGAAACCCTGTCTCAAAAAAACAAACAGCTACAAAAATTATGTAACATGTGTTTTCTCCACAGGAAATGGATCCACCTGAATATATCGATGATACAAAAAGTGATATCATATTCTTTGAGAGAGGTGTTCCAGGACATAACAAGATGCAATTTGAATCTTCACTGTACAAAGGACACTTTCTAGCTTGTGAAAAGGAGGATGATGTTTTCAGACTCATTTTGAAAGAAAAGGATGAAAATGGGGATAAATCTGTAATGTTCACTGTTGCTACCTTACCTCACAGTTAGGTATCAAGTATGTTTGTGTTCCAGAAAGATGATTAGAATGCATGAGCCTTATGATAAGCCATTCTGTGTTGCCATATGAAACACCCGAGGCTGCATAATTTATAAAGCAAACAGGTTCATTTATCTCATGTGTCTAGCCCAATTCCTACTCTCTGGTAAATGGCCCTGGCTGCATTACAACATGGAAGACAAAGGGAAAGGAATTAGCTGCATGTGAATTAGCACATGAATGAGCCTCGCTTCATAGCAACTCATTCTTGAGAGAGGCATTAGTTCTTCCCAATGCTGGAGCCCTCATAATCTATTCATCTCCCTCCCACCTCTTAAATATCTCACTACCTCAATACAGTTATACTGCAGGTCAAGTTTCCAGCACATGCATCATAGCAAATCTATTCTGTGGCAGTGAAATAAATACCAATAATGTCTTCAACATGTCATTAACGTATAATAATAATTGTATGGTAATTTTTTAACATAGCACTTATGGGGTGGAAAGACAACACAGTGGTTAAGAGCATTTGCTACTCTTCCAGAGGACTCATGTGTATATGATGGGGGTATGCACATGCCACACTGAGTGAGTAGAGTCACTTCTATCCTCCTATATTTGTGTGGGTTTCAGGTTCTAGGAATCAAACTCAGATCAACAGGCTTGCATAGCAAGTGTCTTTATCTGTTGAGTCATCTTGCTGACTACGTTATGTGCTATCTTAGCCATTATAATTTTCATTTCTCTGTGAAAAGTTTAAGCAAATAAACACTATTTGTTTATTTGTTCACACTGACTATGACCCTAGCTCCAGCAGCCCTGACACCTTCTTCTGGTCTCCATGGGCACTCTCACTCACT